ATGTTACTTATAGGTAAGGATGTAGGTCTATACATATGCTGTATATAGTATGTTTAAATGTGTGTTATGTATGTGTACACTTTGAGAGCAAGTGATTAAATTTCATTCTTAATGTGTGCCATTGTGCCCACAGTAGAAAATGACAATAAAGGTTATTTATCTATCTGCTATCTGGCACCGTATCCAGTGCTTATACAATTTCTGGCTTCAATGGCTTGTTATTTTGGTATATGCATTGAAATGAAGCCAATATTAGAGGTAGCTGACAAGAGAGGACATTTTATAATGGGATAGGAATGCGCATCATGGCATGAAATATAACATGAAATATAACACTCTGGTGATGACTCAAATCCCTATTAATTTTTGGGAGATAGTATATGATTCCTCAAATATGGCCCATGCTCTTTACAATTTTAAATATCCCCATTATCTCTTTCCACATGGATTTTGCTTTGGCACAGAATACAGTTGTAATCATATTTAAGTATATATGCTTCAGTCTATCCCATGCTGCCTAGGCTGTAGCTTCCATTATGTTTTCATGGGCAATTCCTGAAAAATTATGGTCATCTACTGATAAGCCAAACTTGTATTTGTCAGGCTTTTGTATAAATCCATTTTTAATTTTCCCTTGTTAAATCTGGATTGATAGAACAACATGTACAATTGATATTGTATAAGACAACCACCATTCATCAAATAATATCTGGCCTTTTTTTCTATCTAAGATTTTTATCCTGTCTTTTTATATATTACTCAAGGGAGTGAACATAGTGAATTCTCCTGCCTCTTATATTCTGCACAATAACACACTTGTGGATTGGACCGAGAGTGAGTTTTACTAGCCCAAGGTCTAGCACCTTAACCACATCAAACTGGCTTTCATTTGTCCAGAAAGCTTTATATTCTATATTATGAACTAGTCTCCACTTGAAGGGAATTGGAGTAATACTTGGGAAGTCTGATGATGAATGAATATTATGACAAGTTCCCATAAATTGTAATATAAGAATGTCATTAAATGTTCAAAAATTTTTCCTAAACAGAATGCAGTCTTCCCAACCTATAACTTATAGACCACCTGACTTGTACAGTTACCAGATATCTGAATAGGCAAAGAAGGACACAGCCAATTGAAAAGGAGGAAAAAGGGTGGGGAAGGGATGAGGACAGAATAACTAAGTTTCTTAGCATCTGCAATCAAAATTATAGTTGGAAGAAAAGAATCATACTTAGCCCTAAATGTATAGGAAATTACTTTTTAGTAATCTGGACCTGATTTTTCACTCAGGAATGTGCCAGTGATTATTGTAAGGTGTTGTCAATTTCTGACGAAAGCAGGATGAAAAAAAGGATACATGAGGTCACAGAAGGTGCTTGTAAGGGGAAAAAGCTTCTCAGGAAGAAATAATTTGTTAGATATTCAAAAAGCCAGCAATACTGATTTTAATTTTATGCCTGCTAGACAGAGGACATGTTCATAAGGAGACTTGACTTCCAATGCAGTTGACTTGACTTCCCAACAGTTTTTTGTGGCTTACAATTAATCAGAAAAAAAGAGTCAAAAATTGCATTAATGTCTCTCCCATTAATGGGGTATGTGACAGTGCAGAAGTGCAAACCATATTATTTTTAGTACAGAACAGAAACAGAATACCCAAGCCTGGATCTGTTTTCTCCAAACTGAAGAGTGGAACAACCTGCCTCCAGAACCTGTGGGTACTCCAACACTGGGGTTTTTAAAGAAGAAACAGGACAGCCATTTGTCTGAAATGGTATAGGCCAGGGGTAAGCAACCTTGGCTCTTTTATGACTCATGGACTTCAACTCCCAGAATTCCTGAGCCAGGAGTTGAAGTCCACAGTCATAAAAGAGCCAAGGTTGCCTATCCCTGATATAGGCAGAGGGTTGCCTGAGCAGAGGTTTGCACTGACTAGAAGACCTCCGAGGTCTCTTCCAACTCTGTTATTCTGTTATTCTGAGCTAAAGACCTAACCATTTCAATGGCCCAAGACTTCTGACTAGAGAACTACCTGTGCCTGCAAGAAACCCAGAATGAATGGACCCCTTTGCTGCAATTTGTAAACTAAAGTCCTGATTTAAGATATTTTCATTTATCTTGTTGCAGTGGCTATGTGGCTTTGTGCATGCATGATTGCAATGTTCAGAAAAGGTCTGAAAAGCAAGATGGCAGACAAGAGAATCATCTCTCCTCTTTTGCCAATGCCAGCTTGCCTTTTTCGAGTAGATGCTATTGCATGCATGAGAAGAAAAAAGTGTGAGAAGGCCAGCTGGTAATCATCAAGCTGGAAGGGTGATAAACCATATTGATTTGCTTGTAGGCTTTTTTTTTTTTTTTGACTAGCATGTGTACTATAGTATCCATGTTGTAACACAACCAATAAAGATTGAAAATATGCCGATTGGCCCGTAAGGGATGCAAATTCCTCATTCCAAAGTATGAAAATTAGCAGGGTAGGTATTTAGGAATTTAATTATTCTGATTTGGTTCCTGGACTGAATGATTGATCAATAGATTGTTAGACAGGTCATCTGTTCTAATTACAGAGAAAAGTCTTGTTATTTAAAAAGTTGTCCATGCCAAATCTGACTGACAGATGGAAAATTAGGAAAATGAGCAGGGGACAACATTTGGCATTTGAAAGTAGACAGAGCTATCTAATCATTATTGCTTCTCTAGAATACATTTCTTGATCAAATGCATTGAAATAAATGGCAGCACTGCTGCTAATTATGTATCCACACCTATGTATCATTGCATGTAAATATTATGCAAGTTCCCTATCTTTTTGGTGATCTATATACTGTTTGGGGAGGGCCAAAGACAGAGGTAGCAAAATATTTTTTAAAATGAATCCGATAGTATAAAAAGACATTTAAAAATAAAACTATGTAACAATCTTTATAAGGTCTGTGAGGAAAGTTGGTAAATACTCGTTCAACAAAACTGAATTGCCACTATTATGCAGGTCCCACTTTTAATTTTCAAGAGTGCCTGCAGGGTGTGTATATATCAAATAGTCAAGGTGGTGGCCACAGTGCAATCAAAGCTCAGCCCCTTTGTTTCTTACTTTGTAACACATGTAAAAATGGATGGGACTTTAATTGCATGATTGTGGTTACTATCTTGACTTTTGAGACCTTCCTTGTGGGCACCCTTGACAGCTTTTACTCTAGCTTTTACTTTATCATCAAGGGTCTTGGCAAGTGGGTAACCCTAGACATTTAATTGATAGATTTTGTGGGAAGTCAGACCCCCCCCCCCAGAGAAGGAAATATTAAAAAGGCAGAATGTTATATTTCCTCAAAGGATCTTAAAAAGGCAGAAAAGCATGCCCAATTTTTCTTAATAGCCGCAAGTCTCCCTCCCCCAAGCAGAAACCAGCTCTGTAGAAACGCAGATATCATAATCCTTTCAGAAAGACTGGCACTAGGAAGCTTAGAGCTGATGGGATTAGAACAGGGGTATCAAACTGCCGGGCCATGGGCCGGACGCGTCATCCAGAAGCTACACCCACCCCATTGCCGGCAATGGCAAAATTGTCCCGATACATTGTGTGATGTCACGTGACATCGCGAGTTTGACATGTCTGGATTAGAAAGACAAAAGATCACCCCAAAAAATCTAACACAGGAAATAGTTATCAACCACAGCCCCAGGGAAGCAGGATATGACCTTTGGAAACATAATAGGATTAACCCACCAATACCAAAAAAGGCACACTCAAAAGAACCTCAGGTCAAAGTTCATGCCACAGGAACAGGAACTCCAAACACAAAAGCCCCAGAAGGTATTAAAACCCACTACTCCCAGCTACATGTGGTTAGCTTTCCCAGAGCTACACTTCTGTCTGGCTTTGCTCTTCAATAAACTACAACCTTCTTTCTAAAGCAGTCTCCATTTTGTTTATTCCTGGCTTGGACTCGACCTTGATGAAGATTTTTCTTGCAACAATTTATTTTAAAAAATGTCTTTGCCTGTCATGTCTGGAAGACTGTGCCATTGTGCAGTGACTCGGAATAGAGGCAATAGAGACAGGAGAGGGAATCAGCAGCGAAGACAGCAGCATATTTTGTGCTAGTTCAAAAGTGAATTGGAAGCATCTCAGATCAGCAATGGGGAAAGACCTAGAGAGATTTTGAAAAGGGATGAGTCAAGTGATGTTGTGACACAGTAAAAGGGGGGAGGGAATTGATTGCATGGTCATGGCTGCCATCTTGATTTTTTTTGATACTCTTCCAAACACTATGATAAGACCCTTTGTCTGCATGTCCTAACTTAAACCACATGGTTTTCATGGTCAAGTAAAAATGATGTGGATACTACTTACCCTTAGATTCCAAGGCATGAATCCAAGGGATTCAAAGCTGTCACAAGCTGTGTTTGCCAAACATACTATCCTATACTAAATTGAACTGTGGCCTGTTGATTTCACTAACCTACTTGGCTAGGTTTGCATAAGACATTGATTAGCCTGTGGCTCAACAACTCCTGCATTTACTATTTCCTGGGATCAAGAGCCCAGTTACACTTTGTCTGTCACAGGAGCCTGTTTGTGCAGCTTTTTCTGTTGTAAAGATGCCACAGGGAATCAATTGCTTGAATAAAGTTAACTTATCTTTTGGGAGTGGAAGTGTAGTGAATGGGTGAAAAAACAGCAGGCAACATTATTTTCATGCCTCCTTCCAGTCCGGCACTCTACTCTATCCACTTTCCTTCAAGCCACTTGTTTTCCTCCATCTGCCTGCATTGGGTCAAACCTTCCAGTTTTCACTGAACAATCAGAGTTTACAGAAAATAATGTAATAGCCTTGAGCTCTAATGAAGCCCATCGTTAACTTCTCCGCGGGGGGGGGGGAGGGCTTTTATTGTGAAAAGGACGTCAACAATGAACAAGCCTCCCCCTTATCCCCTCTCTACAAGCCTGTAGGATCTGCAAACCTGGAGGACTTTAGAACTAAGTTAGGCTGGCTCTTTAGCCCGATGTTGCCAGACCTGCTGCTGGCTGTCATTAACACACGTCCAAGATCAGTCCGGGAAAGCAAACGCTTCTCATCGCGGCCGCGCTGCGCCCTCCTGAACGATTTTAGCAACTGGTCCGCAGATATCTGGAGGGGAGGGGAAATCTGACCTCTTTTTGAATGGGTGATGAGTGACAGGAAGCGTAAACTATTCAAGTTCGCTGGTGGGACGTCGTCTTGGCGAGGGTGCGTGTGGTTGCAGTTACTTCAAAGATAAATGTAGAAACCCCAACTACTTGAACGTCTGGCGTTCTGAGCGACCAAGGTGCTATTGGAAAAGGGATCGACTTGAGCGGTAATGAATGCAAGCGAAAAAGGAGATTAAAGCCCTGTCCCGGAGTCTTATATAGGATATAAATACAGGACGTGGCAAAAGGAAATTGGGCACGTCTGAACATGGTAAGCTGTTGTCTTATTTTTACCAATATACTCCCAAGCATCTTTGTTGTGAAGTAAGTCCGATGAAGGTCAATGGAGAAAACTAATTGTGTAGTGGATTTCAGCCTACTTAAATATATCCAAATATTTAAGAATAATCTATTTGTATCAGAAAATCTTAGCAGAGGAGAAGATGCATTGATCCTTTCTTTCTATTTCCCTTGGCAGTTCCTCTGGTTACAGCCACAAACATCCCATTTATTTATTTTTTATTTCAGTGATGATATCTTGAAGCATGCTATACTTTTGTTAGGTTATTTTTAAGCATGGGCCTGATAAAAGTTTTGCATAAAACTAGAACAAACCACCATTCTAGAGACTCTTGCAGATCATTTTAAGTAATCTACCAGAGCTGATATCCAGAATAGTTTGGATATTTTGAGATTCAGATGAAAGAGAATCTGGATGGTATGAATCAGGCTATGCCTGACTTCATTAAATATGTTAAATCATAGTTAGTTAAATGTTACAAGGACTGATTTAAGAAATAACAGTCAGTATGTTGTCACTACGATTGGGTTCACACAACACACTACTATTGTACATAGACTGAAACAAGTCACATCATAATTAAACCAGAACTGTAGAAAACTGTTGATGAGTGTAGATATAACTGAGCAAAAAGTTGGTGTTGCTTTTTTGTATTTAACAAAAAGAGGTGGATACATGGAGACGGAGGGTTTCAGGAGGGACATAAGTTCCTAACAAGACTGGGAGAAAGTTGTGTCTTGAACCTTGAAGAACTGCTTATAATTGAACTATAGTTAGTCCTTGAGTTATGACCATTCTGTGACCATTAGAAGTTACAATGGTGCTGAACAAAGGGACCTATGACTGGTCCCCAAAGTTATGGCTGTTATAGTGCCCCCATGGTCATATGGTTGTGATCTGGTTGATTTACCTTTGCAGCTGGTTGCCAAGCTCCCCATAATCATATGATTGCCTTTTGCAATCTTCCATGCCTCCTCCTCCCAATAAGAAATCAATGGGGAAGCTGGCAGGGGAAGATGTAAGTCACTAGGGTAAGTCTCTATCTCCTATCTCAACCTTTCATCATTAACACACCCACACTCTCATTTTTCCCTTGGCACACAAATGCTATCCTCTCCTTCTCTCACTCAAATGTACCATGTACCATGCACCCCCCCTCTGCTCTCTCTCTCTCTCTCTCTCTCTCGCTCTCTCTCTCTCTCTCTCTCTCTCTCTCTCTCTGTCATACACACACACACATCATCACCTTCACTCATATGCATCACAGTAATTTCCCCAACTTGCATGCAGCATGCGCCCAGCCTCCCAGAATCTCCCCCATCCATCTGCAGCATCTTTATGCTCTTTATCTGGGAGTGCTTCTGCTTCCCTTTAATGACATGCGTATTTTAGGATTACAACAACAAGGAAACTGCCTGGATTGCTGTCACATAACATTGTACTTTTTATGGCAATATTGCTTATTGACCACAGTCCTGGTCCCAACTGCCATCATAATTCAAAGATTACCTATCATCCTCCACATATCTTCACTTACAACAGTTTGTCTCAACCTTAGCAATTTTAAGATGCGTGTACATACTGGCTGGGGAATTCTAGGAGCCAAAATCCATACAATGTAAAATTGCTGAGTTTGAGAAACTGACCTACAACAAACAATATCTGCACAAACCACATTTATACTGAAATATATAATGTAAACCGTTATCGTCATATACGTGCCATGATACCAATTTGTATCCCAAAATCTGATGTACATATGAAACTTTTATATAGCCTTTGCTTGATGGCACCTGACAGAGTAAGTCATTTACATCCCTCCTCCCCACTCTCTGCTGTATAATGCCTATATCTCTCATAAGTTACCATTACTGATGGTCAAGATTGCTGCATAGGCCAAAGTATCTTGAGGGCATCAAGTTATGTATCCAGGTAGATGATATTGAATTATTTGAAGTAATAAGACAGTTTCTTTCTGAAGATGGGGTCTTTTCATTGTTGTAGAAAATAGACAAGAAAAGCAGGATATAATAACAAGTACAGTATTCATTCTTCCACAGTGGTGGTTTGTTTTTGCATACAAAATACACAGTGTAAACCTAACTATTGCAGATATTCCAAGGAATGGTTAGTTTGAAAAGTATAAGAAAGTTAATAGAACACCATTAAAGAACATTGAGGGCTAGAATTGGATTCTGAAATGGATTTAGTTAAAGATTGTATGATAAAATGGGCTCAAAATATTCAAGAACCAATTTCATTGGATACATGGGAGGTAATTTGGGTTAGAAATGTAAAATTTACCCAGGCTCAAAATTTAAGAGAAAATTTTTATAAAATGTTTTATAGGTGGCATTTGGATCCCAAAAAGCTGTCTTATATGTATCCCAATTTACAGCCCAAATGCTGGAGATGTGGTAGCTTGGATGCAAACTATTTTCATATTTGGTGGACTTGTAGAAATATAAAAGCTTTTTGGATTAAGATTTGGTGGAACATTCAAAAGATTTTTAAAAGAAAGATAAAGTTCACGCCACAACTATTTTTGTTGGGTGTTATTGTAGATTGTGATGCTAAAGAAACTAATTTGATGTTGAATTTTATAACAGCTGCAAGGTTATTAGTAGGGCAATATTGGAAGAAAGATTCTTTGCCTACTATAGAAGATTGGATGCTTAAGGTGTCAAATTTAGCAGAAATGGCAAAAATGTCTGCTTACTTGAAGGATCACTCACAAGAAAGATATATTTCAGTTTGGAGAAGATGGATAGATTATATTCAGAATAAATATGGGATTAAAAAGTTTCATTTAGCCTATGAGTAAACTTTAGAGTATTATTAATAGGGTTTTTTTTAATTTTTATTAGTTTTAGTATGGTTTAACAATATTGATTTGTTTATATTATTATGTTTATTTTTTATTTGTTTATATTTATGTTATAAGGGAGTTAAAATGCGTTATGGACTTGGTTACTTGTATAGTTGGGTAATTTTTTTTTAGAGTTTGATTGTTTATTTGTAACCCTGTATTCAGCTCTGGGAAGTGGGGGAGGGGTGGAGGGGTGGGTGGGTCTTTGGATGTATAAAACTTTTCAATTAAAAAAAAGAACATTGAGGGCTTTCAATAGGACATTGTCCAGTTTATTTGTTGAGAAGATGATCTTGCTTCTGGTTTATTCTGGTATTCTGTCCATTGCTAAACTACTAATGTGGGAAACTTACCGTCTGTATATACCAAAGCATTGGACTTTGTTTCTCACAATATTCTCCATGTTCTTCATTATTTAAGCTTTATTTTAATTCCTACAAAAAAATAAACAATAGTACAGTTTTCTCTGATTGCCATTCAAATGTGCTGTGAGTGCCATATTTCTGCGTTAATATGAATTTTGCTGATCTTGACTAGGAATTCTGTTGTAATCTCACCATATTTGAGAGATATCAAAATGATGGAATAATAATAATAATAATAATAATAATAATAATAATAATAATAATAATAATAATAATAATAATAATAATAAAGTTGGAAGGGACCTTGGAAGTCATCTAGTCCAATCCCCTGCTCAGGCAGGAAACCCTACACCATTTCAGACAAATCGCTGTCCAGTTCCTTCTTAAAAACTTCCAGTGTTGGAGCATTCACCGCTTCTGGAGGCAGATTGTTCCACTGGTTAATTGTTCTAACTGTCAGGAAGTTTCTCCTTAGTTCTAGGTTGCTTCTCTCCTGGATTAGTTTCCATCCATTGCTTCTTCTCCTGCCTTCAGGCACCTTGGAAAATAGCTTGACTCCCTCTTCTTTGTGGCAGCCCCTGAGATATTGGAACACTGCTCTCATGTCCCCCCTCGTCCTTCTCTTCATTAAACTAGACAGCAGCCTTTCCTTATATGCTTTAGCCTCCAGTCCCTAATCATCGTTGTTGCTCTTCTCTGTTTGCTTATTAAAGAAAACTGTGTTAGAATAGCTATGCTTCTATCATTTCTTCAACATGATTGCTTATTATGGTAATTCAAAATGTTTTCCAGAGTCCTTACCCAGCTATAGAAAAGTAAAGCAGTTATTTCCTTTCTCACTTTTTCATCAGGGTCCTGCACTATTTTGCAGTGAGTTTTGTTTAATGTCTGTAAACATACCTGGCAAAGATACCTGGTAATCCATTTAATCCATCTGATGCTGGATATTAGCTGGACAGTTAAGTAGAAAACAGTTCGGCAGTGGATAATGCAGGGAGAAGGGAGAATGCTGAGCCTGTTTTTTTTTTTGAAAGAATTTTAGCCTTTCATCAAATCTGCAAAGTTCTACTTTTCAGTAGTGGAATGTGCATATTAAATTGATATTTAATATTTCTGGTATTTTAAAGTATTTTAAAGTGGCACTAATCCAGAATTGACAACCATGCAATTAATGTTTCATACTTGCTCAAGAACTGGTTACAGTACTAAAAATGGAACTGGATGTTCAATTTAGGCCACTGGATTATTTGGCATGTTCGTTCTTTGTACTCTTATAGTGCATGTGAATAAAGCATTTTGATGTGTTTTGGCCATCTTTATTGTGGGTCTTGAACCAACAGAAAAAGTCATGGGTGGAGGATGGGTATTACTGACTACCAAAGATTATGTAACAACAACAACAACAACAACAACAACAAAAAGTTGGAAGGGACCTTAGAAGTCATCTAGTCCAACTCCCTGTTCAGGCAGGAAACCCTATACCATTTCAGACAAATGGCTGTCCAGTGTTGGAGCATTCACCGCTTCTGGAGGCAAGTTGTTCCACTGGTTAATTGTTCTAACTGTCAGGAAGTTTCTCCTTAGTTCTAGGTTGCTTCTCTCCTTGATTAGTTTCCATCCCTTGCTTCTTGTCCTGCCTTCAGGCGCTTTGGAGAATAGCTTGACTCCCTCTTCTTTGTGGCAGCCCCTGAGATATTGGAACACTATTATCATGTCCTCCCTCTTCCTTCTCTTCA